ATTAAGGAAATATGGGTAAAGGGGGGTAAATATGGCAAGTCGTTCTGGTAAGGGCATGTACGCGTAAATACGGGTAAATTCAACTAAATGTCAGAAATACCACGCTCGGTAAATCTCGGTAAATACCTGAAATGAGAAATACCCTTTATGGTAAATCTCGGTAAATGCCTGAAATGCATGTGAAAAATACCCCATATGGTAAATCTCGGTAAATATATGTGAGAAATACCGCGCACGTTAAATCTCGCTAAATACGTATTTACACGAAACCGGTAAATGTGGGTAAATAAGGCAAACATTACCACCTATACCATGCAGGTAAATACCGGGTAAATTTGCACATTTACCGACGGGTAAATGTTGGTAAATCACTGGTAAATGTAACCTTTACCCGGCTTTACATCACATTTACCTTGGTGGTAAATCCCACTTTTCGTGCAGTGATAGGTTGGACATATGTCAGGTTATTTTCTACGGCCACACCAAGTAATTGCTATGGATGACGTCCACTGGAGACCTTAAATCTAATTACCTTAAATTTAAGGCAAGCGCGCAGTAAAAACACGAAGGGCCGAAAAATGAGATGCCTAGATTTGGAATATACTAACTGTAGAAGTACAAATGTTAGGACACAAAGAACACAAGTCTTCTATTTGTCATAAAGACAAATTAACAAAACAGCAGCCAGTAGTCACCCTGTTCTGATTCTTTCCTTTATAACATCTTCTCTTATTATATTTTGCGGCGCTGTCGTGACACTTTCAACACAGTAAGAATTTCTTGAACGTTTTTTTTCCAGTAACAGTCCAAACTCAACGTAGGGGGGGGGGCTAACACGGGTGACGACGCATCTGTATAATCTGCGGCAAACCGTTTCAGGGTGTTCTGTACCATAAAAATAGTACAGAGATTCTTTTGTTCTTTAGACCAAATTGATTATTAAAAAGAGTGAAGAATACGCATGTTAATTTCTCTAGAACGATGTACCTCTGACGAAGACATGAGATCTCCTACCTCTAGTTTGCTTTATTAGAGAGACGGAGGAAAGGAGAGAACAAACAAGACACCATTCGTTATTCCTGTATTCTCATTACCCGACTTCGTCTGGGCACCTGCAGCTTGAATCACAGTCTTTATACCCGAGGTCTTGTTACAAGTCCATCCTGTAGCTGCGGGTGTCCATATGAAACGATTGCTCATTATTTATTGCACTGCCCTATATACACCTACCAGCGCTTAGTCCTTTTTGGCAAGCTTTCAAGCATACTTGGTAATATTGTTGATTTAAACACCCTTTCTGATAATTCCATACAATATTTAGTTCTTCGCGGTACTTTCCTTTGTTCGTATGACACCAACTGCAAAATAATGTTAGCCGCACAAAATTATATATTAGAAACAAAAAGATTCTAACTGTATGTGTCTTCTGGGATGGGAGGATTGTTACTCACGCGAGGTCTCATGTATTTTTAAATGTCTTGTAAAATATTTTTTCTTTCATTGTAAAAGTGGCTGCGAGAATAAAAGTTGTACCTAACTTGAGTTCGCAGTCACTTAGTCCATGTCTTTTCATTTGTAATTCTCATTGTGTTTCTGAATAAGAAACAAAAACAAAAACAAGACACCACCATAACTTGAACGTTCTGAATCAACAGGACCTTTACTAATTTGCATCATCCTTACCTTGATTTGTCTAACTTGTGGAGTACCCATTCATATCTCTAACAAAGTCGATTAAATTTACTTACTTTATTTGCATTACCGAAGGGAGGGAGGAAAGAAGAGAGAGAAAACAACTCACCATTATAACTTAAACGTTTACTGAGCTGGTAGCAAGTCTGTACTGTATTTTCCGACCCAAGAACTTGGAATGTTACACAAAAGTGGTTGAGAAAGATTCGAGTTACATAGTCGAAAATTTGGACCTATTTCGTGTTGGAAATTACAGTTCAAGTTTTTTTTCATAAACGCAACATCATTCAAACAACGTTTGTACCACCATGATATCCTATTGAATTTGACAACGCCATACAGCTAAAAGCCCATGACGATAAAAGGATAAGACGCACCAACCCGTATCCTCTGTGGCCTTGATCGCCAGTAACACCATCGTTAAAATTTGGAAGAGCATACAACCTTGCGAAATTGTGTCAGCTAAAACCACCTGATAGCATTTTAACGAACATTGATTAATTTTTTGGGGGAAAAAAGTTAAAGGGACAGAGGAAAGGCAACTCACTATCACAGGCCAACCCATCGGCATTCAGCACATAGCCGGCTCCACAAGAGCAGGTAAAACTTCCCACAGTGTCCGTGCAGTTTCCTGCGCATCCTCCGTTGTTTGTGGCGCACTCATCCACATCTGCAACAGAACAGATCAACTTAACTTACTTTATTTGCTTTAACAGAGAGACGGAGGGAAGGAGAGAAATAACAAGTAATCATCATGACTTGAACGTTCTGAAACAACAGGAGATTCACTAATTTCCATCATCCTTATCTTCACTTGTCTAACTTGTGGAGCACTCATTCATATCTGTAGCAAAGTTGATTAACTTTACTTACTTTATTTGCATTAACGAAGGGAGGGACGGAGGGAGGGAGGAAAGAAGAGAGAGAAAACAACT